AGGTGTAGTTGATTCGTCTCTTATATTATTTCTTTCTTGAGTTGCCTGCCGTGCCTTGTCTTATGTAGTTTGACTAATTTATATGAATAATTTTTATCGTGTTATCTTTTGGTTTATCCTACATGTCTAGGTTGTCACCGTATCACTTGGTAATTAATTTAACGTATTCCGTGTGTCAAATTGGTGTGAACGTACTAATTATAATTGGTAAGTGGTGCATCTCAAAAGTGTAAAGTAAGGTACCGCAGTACGACTTACTTTTACCTTGTGGTGGACGGTCTCAGGAGCTGTTAGACGTCCCCGTGTTGGTGATAATCTAACTATACTATTATATCAGTACTCATTATAATGTGCTGTATTATACATCAAAGAAACGTACAGATCTAGGTGGATGTTGACTCTTCTTTGTGGTAGTCAGTCTATGTCCAGAATACGGTTTAGCGTTCTTGGAGAGTCCTGAGGTACGAGAAGGTGGATCTGCTCTGGTCGGAGGTGTGGTCCATCTTGTATGGGTGAATGTCCTTTTTTTTTTTTTTGTCCCGGAACACTTGGACGCCGTGGAAGTAGGACACGTTGTTGGTCGACGTGTCGTATAGACTCCCTCGGAAAATCATGAAGTAAGTTGTTACAGTGAGAGTTTTACGGTACTGTCGTTTTTGTTTTGTAGACCTTTGACTACCAAGAGTTGAAGAAAAAGTAAGTTTATTTGTGTGTGTCTAATGTAATGTATTGTACGATGAACAATCTGCGAAAATCAGGTTCGTTACATGTATGAGTTATGACACCGTTAGGGGTGTCTCCGTTAAAACCCCACTTCACATAGTCCCTGTGTTGTTGTACGACTGACGTCACCCAGACTTGGACACCTGGGGAATTAGTGGGACTAGGGGCGGACTAAGGCTAGTGGTGCGTGATTGGGTGACGCGGTGTTGCGGAGTCTACAATAGGGATTTGACGAATATTTTGTTAAGTGATGGATAACGCGACGAGACGAAACTTGTCGTTTTGATATTGACTTAGTAATTACTCAAACAAACAAGTGTGTCTACCACTTTGTTTTATGGATTTAAGAAGAAAATTCCATTACATCTGTAAGTTCTTTCTTTTTATCACGTGATGTTTGCAAAGGGAGAGAAGCATATACCGTTCAAATGGTGTTAGAGTTAATTGTGATTTTTTGGAAAGACTTTTGTTTGTCAATTTGTAAGTGACCCATTCAGTTGAGATATAAGCTGTAACTGACTTTCTTCCCGTTAAGGAGACTATATCATTTATAGACACTTTTTATTTTTTCGACGAAAAATTGCTTGAACTTTGCGAAGATAATAACTCTACATAGTGGATATTAGATACACCACAGACACGTAAAGTCTACTTTCGTTTGTTTGTTTTAGAATAAAAATTGACCAATACTCAAATATATAGTTCAGTTCAATAAGGATGTTAGGTCTGAAAATGAAAATTAATTTTTAGTGTGTAAAGAATTTCAAACTTGTAAAATTGGACGTGTGTTGAGTTCATGTGTTTCGCTTTTTACACTGTACAATATACGAAGACTATGCGTCGTCACTTCGTTCATCTCGGGGTTTGCGTCTATTGTGAAACTGTTGTGGAAATAAGTTCCTGAATTCGTTGGTTGTGAGATGCCACCTTGAATACAGGTGTGTGTTTTGTCTTCGTGCGTGTGACTTGTGGTCCTCCTCCGGTCTGGTTTATGGTGCTTCCCATTAGTGTCCTGTTCTTGTCGACCGTCCCCTCCTCTTTGTGTTCCCGGTGTCCACTTGTGTAGTCTATTGATCTGTGTGGTCCCTTGATTCTGTTCCTTCTTTGTGTCCCTTTTCCTGGTCTGTATTGGGTCTCTTTGTACTGTACTCTGTCTGTTTGGTTGTTTATGTATGGCCGTACCTTTGGTCCTCGCACTTGAATTGTAAGGTCCACTAGGTTCGATTTGACTCGATTTCGTAAAAGTCCGTAAGGAACTTTCCTTTAATCTCCTTTATAAAATTCACCTGTTGTAACTATTACTGTTACTAGAACTAGGTAGGTTGGAAAACTAATAGGAAAAATAAAGAGTGAATTGGACATGTTTATTATGAGAACAATTCACGACTTAACGTGTTGAACGTGTTGCAATACACACTACAGGCAATGAAATATTATTCGGGTTGATTTAAACTTAGCCTGGGAACCCCTAATGCGGTTGGTCGCCGGGCATTAGGTATTTTCGCGAGGCCTTAAAAATAATTATGAGTCGAGAGACGGAGACAGGGGAGGACGTCCTAAGAACCTCGCGTGAACTCCTAAACTAATTCGATGTGTTGGATCTACCTTGTAAGGGACCTTGTGGTAGCGGGACTACCAGTCAGCAATTGTGGGAGTCGGAGCTGGGTATTGGAAGTATCTTTCGCAGGGTCTCCCTTAGAAGAGGTTGGACGATTTGACCGGTCCAGTACCCAGAATACTAGTTGAGAAATGTACGTAGGTCGCCGTGCCACCATTTTCCGGTTCGTAATTAAAATCGAAAGATGACCTTATTAGGATTGATCTTCGACAATAACTCCTCGTAGAAGGATGAAGGAAAACGGAGTAGGTTTAAGTTTGCAATAACGAAATACGATTACCGCAACGGTATTCTAAGATGGTCAAGATATCCTTGTAAAACCAAAATTCATTTATTCATTTATTTTATGACATTGGTAACAAATCAACTCATTAGTCATTTCATAACACAATTTTAACGTTGTTTGTTTTGTCGTCGACACAAAACTTCTCTCTCCCTGTGAGGTCACCACCTACCACAACCCCGAAACTAGATTTGGTCCCCACGGGATGGAAAAAACTTGGCTCTCGATGAAAATTTCAACGGTCAGGACGGCTCTTAGATGTTCAGGTTTTTCTCCTCCGCATCGGGTAAATATGATGTTGGATATGGGGTTCATTATGTTTGAAGATGAACATATTTTGACTGGAAACCCATGCTATTTACTGAGAAGTATTTTATGACGGTCTAGGAAATAGGAATGGAGAAAGGATAAGATGTGTGCTATGGTCATATTTGACTATTCCAAGTGTTGTCACAACAACTATGTCTCAACCCAAATAAGTTGTGCAGTGTATGGATGTCACCCATTACGAAAAGTTCTTTGTAACCTGGTCCGGACGGTGGTATACGTGTTCCCTTTTTTCTTTTACTAAAGACTTGGGAAAAGAAACGGGTAATATTGTATCACAACGTGTTTTCATATTTAGTCCGAATGAATTATTCTTGTTGTAGTCTAGACTTTCGATATTCCTAGACGACGGTTTTCACGTTATTTTGCTGGTTTAATCTTATTTGGGAAAAAAAACAACGAAAATCATCTCATATTTTCCTTTACACGAAATTTTATCCTACGTCCGTTGTGATCAAAGAGGGTGGACTTAATTTATTATCTGATATTTAATTCAAACGTAAATTATGGTAAAACAGTATTATTAATATCCACTATTCATAGTTTGTTTGATTTTTGAATGTCGACTAATTATTGCCATAGATTGAACTCAAAAGGTAATATAGTTTGGACAACTTTTACGATGACAATAAAAAATGAACAGGGGGTTTTCGCGCAGCCGGTCGGAGGTCCCTTACCGAAGAAAGTGTTGCAACGGCAGAAAACTTTCTGAGGTACCACAAGCCGTCTTGCACTTGACTGCTTGCTATTCTACCATCCATCCGTCGGAACGAGGAACAACAACCCGGACCACACTTTTTTACCTGACGACACGTAAATCGACCAGGAAAGTCCAGGGATGGGAAAGACCCCTCGCCACCCGTCTTAATCCTCCCTTTAAGGCAGAGCATCGCAAAACACGTGACAAAACTTTACGGACTGAGTGGATTTAATGGGAAGAAGCTATTTGTCGGTGCGAGCGTGAACGTCTCTACTCTGCCTACCTGAAACCTTAACCTATTATCTATGGTTTTTATTAGTAGGAGGGTGAGCCTTCACTTTTAATATTATAAAACCCGAAAAAAACGAAGGACGGGTATTAACGCCAGGAACACACACAGCGCCTGACAGTGATTTGGTCAACTGTTGTGCCTTGTGGCGTCGGCTTGTATTACGGGTGACTGGTTGGTCGGTTCGGGTTGTGGATACCTCTTATGTGCTGCGCCTGTTTAGTGTTTCGAAAACTACGTCTAGTTTCACGTACTAGGCCGTGTCCTTCTAATACATATTATCCTTGTAAAAATTGCTATTTTGTCTTATAACATCAAGATAGAAATCTGTGTAGAGGGCGCTAGACCCTTAGAGGGGGACTAGATTTGGTAGTTGGATATCGGGACCCACCCAAATCTAAGTTGATATTCCTCGTAGATGTATGAACAAATACAAAAATAACCGCGAAAATGCTTTCCCACTTTTTATACTTGTCACTTTTTTATGAATAAACCATAAATGGTTCAAGCCTTAAGTTTAATTAATTTTTTTACTTTCATTTTGAATTAGTACGTTTTACGAGGAGAACATTTACGAAATATGTACTTAATACACAAGGGGGCCACACAGTCCCTTGAGTGGTTCACAGTCTTTGTGTGTGGAGAGAGAGAAAAGAGGTATGGGTTTAGAGATTTTTGTCCCGACGTTGCCTCGACTAATAATTAAACTTAAAAGACTGCCAGTCTTTTCCCCCCCGAGGGCGGGATATACCCCGGTTGAGAAGGGTGGGATAAGTCCCCTTACTTTTTTCTCTTTTTGCATGGCTTTCGCGACCTCTGCGACATTCATGTATTACTGGCTCCGGACATTTACCGCGACATCATGACGGTGTTTTCGTCTTAGTCGGAACGTTTTTGGTCCCGACCCTTTTCTCGTTTATCTCGCTTTACTCCGTACCGATTTTACGTCNTTGGTAAGAGTATTTGTGATGCCCCTGTGGGTGCATCAGTAGATAGGGTGTGGCTGTTCTGTCTGTGCTGCGTTGGCTCCAGTGATTACCTTGATTACAGTAACCTGTAATCAAGGTAATCACTGGAGCCAACGCAGCACAGACAGAACAGCCACACCCTATCTACTGATGCACCCACAGGGGCATCACAAATACTCTTACCAATGAAAAAGTTAGATTAAATTGTAGTTTATTTCCAAAGGCTCAGTTTGGAAACCACTGCAATATGGATATTGTAGGACGACCTAAGAGGCAAAGTGTTCAAATGTAATGGAAAGGTAATACTACATCTCTGGAGTCACTGTCATTCAGCTGCCCTTATGAATGTGCTAAAGTATGGCTCTTAAGGAGAACTCCCATCACATATAAGTCAAGAGTAATTGTGTAAACAAGAATCTAGCAGACCTTAGTGCTGGCAGCACATGATAGAAATTGAACAAAAAAGTCCTTCTCTTGGCATTTCTGAAACAAACTGCTAAGTTCTTCCTTTACAAAATAATCTTTATCCGTCCATATGAAATAAAGATTTCAATGGACTTCTTCAACTGTATGGCTGGCTTTAATACTTCATTAATCGCTGAGCTTTTTCTGGCAGTCAGAACCCTGTAAAATCCACAAAGCGATACATAATTAAAACTTTTTATTGACACAGCAACACATTTAACTACCAGTTCTCATCTGAGAAAGAGCTAGAGCTGCCAGAGTCTGAGTCTGCGTCCGTCAACCCGTCAAAGTCCCAGTCGGCACTGGAGCCACTGTCATCGTCCTCCTCTGTAGAGAAGCTGTGCGCAGAGCCTAGGCATGCTGGGTACACGCGTGTAGAAACACACACGGGCCCCAGGGTGGACACATACACCGCCATGATGTTCTTCCAGTTGTCCCTGCCGGGGTCGTATTCATGAATGAGGACCCTGTTTTTGTTGTGCTGTAGTAAAGTCTGAGTGAGGAGGAGCAGCTTGTTGTTGTGCTGGATCACCTGGTAGTTCAGGGCCCGACTGTCGATGGGAATGTCCCCCAGCCTCTTCCATTCCCCTCGGGTGGGGCTGTAGGCTTTCACCACAGGGATGTCACACACACAGATGATCTGGTCCTGATACACGCAGGCCTTATGAAGCTTGTCCCTCCTCAGTGATCCACAGTGGCGCCAGCGGTTCCTCCTGGGATCGTAGCAAAGCATTCTCCTTTTGTTCACCACATACAGCTGATCGTTTAGTGCCACCACCTGCATTTTACCTAAAGAATGAGGCAAAGGAGCCACATATGTCCACTGGTTCCTCTGGATGCTGTAACACTCCACCTCCTTCAGTCGGGAATCCGTCACTGGGTTTCTTCCTCCCAGGAGGTAAACATGGCCGTTGAGGTAGCCCATCCCAGAGTGGATCCTCCCCAGCGGCCTCTCAGCTAACTCCTGCCAGCTGTTCATCACAGGGTTGTACAGCCAGAAGTGTTTGGAGAGGTGGGAGGCTAGGTACAGGTTGTTGTCAGGGGTGGCACAGGCGATTAAGGACTCCATGGTAGAGCGTTTGTAATCCTGACTGCTGAGGTCTTCTAAAGGAGGGGCCATGAAATACAGGTCCTCTGAGTAAGGGTCGCAGCACATTATGTTGTCGTTTGGTAGGCCGAAAAAGAGGATCATTTCTTTTGCATTTACACCTATTCTCTGTTTTGGTATGTCCAGAGTTGCAGGTATTGCACAGCTGACCTCTGCAGACGTGTTAAAGAAGGTTTCGAGGTATTTCTCAATTAAAGGCCTGGCCATGAGACCCTCCAGGTAACACTTGTCCTTCTCGTTAAACAAGTTCCAGCGTACGCATTTCAATGCCTGTAGCGCATCCTCCCTTTTCTGTGGTGCATTTTCCTCTATCCACTGCAAAGCAGCCGAGCAGACCTTCCTTTCACAGTCCACATCCAAAGCGTCCAGAGACAATATGTCTTTCAGTTGTATCAAATCCAACTCACAGAGCTCCCCTCCACTACACACCTGGCTAAAATGTCTTGCTATAAAGGCTTGAGCAGTGTCCTTCAATTCAGGATTGTCATAAGAGTCAGCAAATTTCAGAATCCCCACACAGTTTGATAGGTCCAGCCTCCTCGTCATGAAGCTGGAGCAAGCCTTCCTGATGTACTCAAGCTGGAGCATGTTTGAAGCTGCGTACAGCCTCTGGACGTTGCTCTCCGTGATGGTCACCCTGCCTGTGTAACAGTAGTCGATGATAACAGACATGGACTCAGAGTCCACCCCGCGGATGACCACTCTCTGCTGCATGCTTTCATTTAACCCCCCGGTGAACATGCTCTTGAAGTAAGGGCTGGCAGCTGCGAGGACGTTGCGGCTGCACAGGAAAAGTTGTCCAATGTCACCCCTGGCTGCCTCTCCGGTTGACTCTTCCTCTTCACTCTCCACTCCGATAGTAACGTCCCCGAGCAGGCGGCAGTCATACAGGAATTTCAACTCGTCCATCAAACCCCGAGCGTGATTCACGTCCTCGAGCACCTCGGGACCACTGAAGAAACTCAACGCCATAGCCATTGCAGTAACTTAAGTGAGCAATGTATGGCTATTTTACGTCGGCGGATGTGTCAAATAAACCGCCGTCATACGGTTGACATATTCGGATAACGGGAGAGGCTCATGGATATATCCGTCCGCTGATAATAACACATCCGTTCATAGAGGAAAATCAAACATATGCTGTGAAAAATACATTACCAGCTGAAAGTCAATATGTCCAACTAATCCTAAAATCAAATTTAAATGTACGATAATCCATCAATTGCACCGAGAGTCACTGACAGTAGTGTCTATTTTCTTTGATTTCTCTGGTCAGTGCTGACAACTGTTTTGAGTGTCGAACGGTTTTTGGATTGAAACTACAATTTCCGGGAGACGTTGTCAAAATTAAGCCCAGCTACATGTACAAGTGTTACACATATTTCCTTTTGTTTCACTCTATATTCAATTTAATAAGTTATCTAATAGGTAATAGGCAATCTTCACGTTTATCACCCTTCACTACTTAAATATATATTTTTAACTCAATATGAAAAAAATGTAATCTCTTAATTTGAAGGCATTCCTACTTGACTTCCGCTCTGGCTCACACAACCTTGCTAGGGTAGCATTCGCCTCTCTGATTGGTTTGTGTATCTGGGTCAAATTGAGGTTTATTCAAAAATATGAGATTAGGGGTACACGAATGCTTATACTACACTTTATTTATTCAGCCAGCAATCTTCATTTTGTACAAATATTATTAAATAAATCTAACAATTTTTTCAACATGATTTTAAAGATGTCCTGATTGTAGCATCTCAGATTCTCAGCCATTTACATGGCTTTTTCTTTCATTACAGGAAATAAAATAATCACAAAACATTTATTTCATGAGAAAAACAAACAATTTGAAGATTTTAATTGCACAAGTGATTTTTTTTAATGATTAAAAAGATTTAAAAATGAGTCCTTTAATTCGACTTTTCATCTTTATTGAAACCCTTTTAATGTATTCCAAGATAGAAAGTTGCATTACTTTATACATGGCCCATGCTTCTCACTTGTTTGATCAAGGAGTGGACACAGTAGCCTACATTTATTTGCAGTGCGCCATGTAGAAAGTGCCACATTTTTCACATTTTCACCCAGCTTTAAGTTTATCTACGATTTAGGTCGTTGATCCTGCGCAGTGCGTCTTGGTTGTGGATGGTCTTGTGGACAGTGATGAGGAAGGGGAAGGCCGAGGGCAGCTCAACCCTTTGGCTCAGCTTCTGGTGGCCCCAGTGGAGGCAGCGCAACCTCTCAGACAGGTCCCGTCGGCCTGCTCGCTCCAGTCCATCCTGCAGCAGCTTGGTCTTATTGGGCTTGTCCCATGACTTTTCATACCTGAAGATAGACATGTGAGAAGCATTTGAGTACAAGGAATGGAGCAGAAGTGAAAAGGAGATGCATTAAGGAGGCAATGTCTATAAACCAGTGAAGCCCAGTACCACAAGAAGACGCACATAACTTAATAAACGTAGTATAAGAAGTCATTAGCACTTTAAAAAAAAAATCTAAGTACGGCAACTGTTTGTTATTCTGAGGAAAACCCCATTCAGGTATACTGTAATTATAGTATCTGCACAATAAAAGACACACACACACACACACACACACACACACACACACACACACACACACACACACACACACACACACACACACACACACACACACACACACACACACACACAGTACCAGCTCTCCAACATGGTCCTAGCCTGGACACTCTTCTCTGTGGATTTGGTGTGAAATCGACCGATCTCAGTTCTGTTGAAACCAAGCTCATATGCCAAAACTGTCCACTCAAAACCGAGCAGACTGGAAATCTCCTGCAGTGTCTTTAGGTTAATCACAGCATCCTGAAAAACAACATGCAAAGTCACTTAAAGATAAAGAGATTTAGATGAAGATATCCAAGAGAAATGCTGATCTACGTCATATGGAAGTGAAAATAAAAAAGATTACACATACCTCTTGGGCTTTGTTGGGCATTATTTCAAATTCCAAAAGAACAGCAGTGCAGGGCACACTAAGCAACTGTTCTCATAAACCTAATGTAACAAACAGATCTTGTGAAAAAAAATGCCCAGATATCATTGATTTCTATATAATAAACATACATAGACCGTCCTAAATTCCAAATCCCAGAATATAGATTGTATTCACTCACCTGAAATACAGTATGCCAAAAGTGAGCGTGGTTTGTTACTGGGGAGATTCATCATCAACACACACCTCTGTTAAACATTAGTCACTCTGGCTCCAGACTCCCTTGTGACGATAACACTTGTCAAGTTAAACCATTACCCCATGCTTACAGGTAAACCGCCGTACATAATAATGGCAGCCCACTGCTCCTAACACTAGGATGGGTCTAATGCAGAGAAACCGTTTCATTACTAGTAAAGTAAAAAAAACAAAAAAAACACATGAACTGTGCTACAATCAGGGCAGGGCAGTCGTCACTTTTATATTTTAAATAACTCAAGAGTATATGGACTTCTTTGTTGACTTGATGCTGTTTACTCAAAGCATTTCACCTTCAGGTCTTTGTTGTTTTACAACTTGGACGATTAGAGTGGATGGTCTTCAGCTAAAAGTTAAAGAAAATGCCCAAGTTAGACTAAACTAGTGAACAATGTAATGTTTCTGAAAATGTACAGCAATGTTTTTAACCATTAGTGTGTTTTTTTAACAGTTTATCAACGGTTCATTTTAAATTTGCAAGTAAATATATCACGTACTTAAAATACTGTCATATCATATTTCAGAATAATGTCAGCTCTTCCTGGTCCACGCTTAATTAACAATATAATTGATGTAAATATTCAAGACTGGAAAATAAAAGCAAGTATTTTAAAAGACTTTTATTCACATTACAAATCCACATCCTCTCTAAAGTCTTGTCATACAGAAAAAGCATTAGGGCTCTTTGTGCAATGTCATTGCAGCGATTATGTTTATCAAAGAACATTAGAAATCTTAGCTCTAATGTAAACAATAAGAGAAAGGAAAGATAACGCGTGTGCACTAACTTAGGTCATATTCTTTTTTACTTAAAGTGTTAATCATAATTATGATCAAAAGTGCTGCAAGGTCCAGCCAATAAATATAACATGAATTACATTACTTTTTGACAGGCACGGGATTTAACAAAATTCCAGGTTCAACTTCAAATCGGACACCACAGACTGACAAAAATCAATATTTGCAAAATTAGTCGTACAAAATCATTCATAGCATGTACAAAAGCTGGGGCTGTTTTTTTTCCTATGCTTTAACTGCAAAGAACTCTTCATTCTTGTATGAAAGCCTTAATTATCCACAATGACAAATCAAAAAACACATATCAAAGAAGATCCAGTTCACATTTAACAACAGAGTATCAGAATATTGCCAGGTTGTTTTGTAGTGTCAGCCTGTGTGACAGCAGGTAGTAATGTAGAGATCCAGCCTGCTGGACCCGTACAGTCTCTACTCCGTCCTTCAGTGAGGAGTAGAGCCCTTTAGAAATGTTAACAGTCACTCTCTCTTGGGTCACAGCCCAAGACCGGGGCCCTCCTAAGGGCATCCTCTTAAATCATTGGGGTCCCACGCAGCGTTACCCTGTGCACCTCTTGAACTTCAGTTTATTCAGTTCAGTAGCAGCCGTCTTTCCAGCTGCTGTCCCTGAGGGCACTCAGGGCAGCCACGCTCTTTGGAGGAGTCAGCATACTGTGGACAGAAAGAAAATCTAAATTAAATACTTTAATACAATAAAAAGCAATATCAACTTAAGTATCATAAACAGACTGATTTAGCTGGGCTTTGAGAGTTTGACCTTTACCTATAGCACCTCCTTCAGGACAAACAGTGTAAATGTTTAAAGAGTACTTCATTTAAACAACTTTTTGTATTTGATAGTTACTTAAAATTGTCAAATACAAATTCTCAGGTTTCCCTCTGGGGTTTTAGAGGGCTTATATGAATTGCAACCCTTGGGGCATGGGAGGAGGGGGAGTTTGGGGGTCCTGCTGAAAGAACATTGGCAGGTTTTTGGATGAAAACGTTGCACGTTTACAACATGTTGGACCATTAACGTTACTACAGTCTAAAAATCCTAGGGGCCAAACTTCTGACATTCATTATTTGACTATTATCACACATCACAGCCTTTGCCTGACATTTATTTTCTCTCTGTTTGCCCTGTTAACTCCTATTCTGCAAACCAGAAGAGCAGATTCTGAAAACGTTCTATCATCGTTTCATTTATGCTATAAAAAAAGAAAGGAAAGAGCAAACAGTTTACAAATTGTTGAACCAGACGGAGCTTGCCAACTAAGGACAGAAGCAGGATGTGAACACTGCATTTATAAAGAACAGCACCACTTTGCCATGCCGTACTTTAGCTCATCCACATTGTTTTTACATGTATAAAGCTTATCCACGGCAATGGCAAGAATGGCAGGATTTATAATGTTTTACACTACAGACAGCACACTTGAACAGCAACATACTGTATCTTGTAGTAGCCACAGCAACACTGCCAACAACAGGGAACTAATGCATGTGAAATGCAAGGAGAGAGAGAGGGGAGTGGGGCAGTGTGAAGATGACCCAAAACCAGGTTATTATTCTGTATGATAATGCAGGACAGAGGGAAAAGCCATTTCCTACAGGAGACGTGCACAGATTCAATGATTCACATTCATATGAGACAGTATTCTTCAGACAAATGGAAACAATCACATCAAACTGCATTTTCTTTCTATATCTGGCCTTACCTGCGCGTGGGTTGCATGATTTTGCTTGCACGTGGAACTCCACTTGCTCCTACAAAGGAGGCTGGGCGAGGAAGGGAGCTGCGAATAACAGCTGGCTGGTTGCTGCTGGCTTTTAAAGGTTGTTGTACGAAACTGCTGCTGTGTTTGAGGGGCTGAGGCAGCGCGGTGCAGCTGGGGATGGAGTGCAGACTGGTGGAGGTGGGCAGGGAGCTGGTGGGAGGGCACTGCTGCACCGTGGGGCTTACGTAAGCTGTGGCTTTTACAGGGTTTCGGGGAGTGGTTGGAAAGTTCCCCACGCTCTGGACTCGCTGGGTGAGCTGGCCTGGGGAGGGAACTGAAACACAGCAAGTGAGCCGTTAGATAAAAAAATCCAACATCAGTGACAGAAATGCAATTACTGCATGTGAAATTGCCATGCGCTCAACATTCACTCATGAATAAAAATGAGCCACAGTGCTGATTTATTCATGGACTTGAAGAAAATATCCTTACTGGAGGACTGGAGTCGAGCAAGCCCACTTGACGAGTCAAAGCTCTGGCTGCTCCGGAGGGAGGATATCATTGGCAGGGAGGAGGGGCCGTGGGAGGGTGGGTTGAGAGGGGAAGCCAGGCATGGACTGCTGGGAACACTGGGCATGCTGGGAGATCGGAGCAGGTTGGGCATGCTTCTCCGTAGCTTGTCTATGCAACCATATTAACAAACCACATCAGGTATCGAAGTTGTAGACTCAATATGAAGCTCTGCAAAAATGTTTCTATCATTCTAACAAAGGAATACTTTCAGAGTTTGAGGAAATAAAATCACTGCTTCTGGCCAAGAAAAAGTTCTCAACATAACACCCTTTAAAACCATATGCATTTTGTCATTTTAACAACTTTTGTTTTGATGCAAATAAGATATAATGTGTTCGTTAGTGAGCTTTAGAGGCAGATTTTGAGTTGGGTCCAAATGGTAAACCTTGATTTGCAAAAACTCTTGCGGTAATCGTTGCCCAACAAACTACGAGAGATTTTCCTAGAACCAAGGCTTACCATCTAGACACAGCCTGGATTTGTTACCATTGGAAAGAGAAAAGCTAGCTGTTTAGCCAGTCTTTATACTAAGCACCACCAAGGTGCTGCTGACAGTGTACATTAATGAGAGTGGTATCAAACTTCTCAAAATTCGCTATTCCATTCATCTCTATGCTCTTCAACATAACAATCAAATCTGTTTCATACGTCAGTCGCAAGTACACTGACACACTAAATCCAGTAATCAAGAGAACTCTCTAAATCTTTCTTGGCACAGAAATGGTCTGGTAAGAACTATGGGGCGTCTTGAAAGTGGGTTATTGTGTTAAGAAAAAAATGGGACATTAAGGATATTTAGTGATCTCATATCAAGTGCACAACAAATTCATGAAACACTCACCTGTGCTATTCCTGTATAATGTGTGGTTTTCTGTGGTCAGGCTGGAGGGTCCAAGGTACTGTGAGAGTCCGCTGAGTGAAAACTGAGGTGTGTTTGAGCTGCGTTTGCAGTCTCTGATACTGGAGAAGGTGTGAGAGTGGGGCAGGCCGCCCCGCTGCATAGACCCTGTGCGGAACAGTCGAGGCTGGGGAGGAGGGAGCTGGTCGTACCCTTCGTCCTCGTCGTCATCCTCCTCTTCCTCCTCCAGATCCATCTCACTGCGCCTGAGGGTGTGTAAGGTGAAGCCGGAGTTGCGACGGCTGGGTGTGGGGGGGTGTGAGGTAGAGGCGTAGTCCTGTCGGAGACCTACAGGGAGACAGATCAATGCTTTTATCTGTGGAAAAACACACACCTGAACCTCATATAGTATATGATACATTTTTCTCCATAAGGCGCCCTTCATCTATTATTCCGGTCATATTTATGTAGACCAGACTGATAAGTTTCTTCTGAAATCTCCTGCATAATTTAACACACATCAAGATTTGTGACACTGGCAACAAAATGTTAACTGTTCAAAGGGCAAACATTTATCTTAGTTTCAGCCATACACTGAAGATGGTGATCTATCTCAATCTCTTCAGAAGGTCAGACCTCAGTGTTTATAGGGTGGGCACTTACTGTTTATTTGCATGCAACCGATAGAGAGCTGCATATTTCTGTAGTCCGACCTAAAGGCCTGGGATTTTTCCACTGAATCTTAGCAGAAAATAAGATTGGTGGCAACAAACGTTTCTGTTAGTCAAAAGCTAATAATAGGCCATACAAAACTTTTCCACAGTTGCATGTTTTTAGCATCATTAACTTGTGTGTAAGTTTCCCTGTGTTTGGCATGATGACTTTAGCTATCCCCGACAATCACTTTAGTCTTATTTAGACACTCGTTAGCAACCATCTTTTTGGGACAAGTGAAAGCTGTTTAAAAAGTGGGGTATTTACTTGTTTATTGTATTTTGTTACAAAAAAAAAACATTCACATCTCTCAAGCTTAAATACAGACC